CCTCTAGTAGCCCAAGCCCTGATCAATTTCAGGAGAAAGACCATTCTAGGATTCTAGTAGTCTCTTATTACTGGAGACAAATATGGCTCTTGACACAGTTAAGGAAACTACTTGTTGATTATGTCCAACTGTAAGTATATCCATACATTTACTGTTTTGGGCCTATCTACATCATGGGTTTGAAATAGCTTCTTTACCCATAGTGAAGGTATTCACTCTTTCTGGAGTAGGTCAGGAATTTTTTCTAAGCCTTACACCTGAGAAGAAAGTATGGTGTTAGCTCCTACTTCTTTGTTATTATTTTTGAGCACCTTTAATCCTTCTTAAGCTCTTTCTATCTCTTACTAGTGTAGGGTGAAATATTCTCTCTAAATCAGGGGTGGGCAAAATGTCAGATCTGGCCAGTGGCTGGACTCCATTTCCCAGAAGCCCCTGCCTACATAGCTGGAGCCAGTTTCCATGGAGACCCCAGCAGCAGCTACCCTGTGATAGTGAGGCTGGAGACTGGGTCCAGCAGTTCTGGCAGGGCACGGAGCTGCTCCAGAGCCCAGCTGGGATCTTGTGGTGGTGATAGCGTGGTCTGGAGCCAGGGCAGAGGTGCGATCTGCAGCCTACGTGCTCCAGGCAGGGACGTGCAGGCAGCAGATCACAGCTTTGCCCCGGTTGCTTGTAGCGGCAACAGCATGGTCTGGAACCACAACAGAGCCCTGATCCGGAGCCTGCAGGCTGCAGATCACAGCTCTACCCTGGCTCTGGACCATGCTATCACTGTCGCAAGATCCCAGCCAGGCTCCAGAGCACTCCCCATAAAAAGGCTCTGCACCCTGGTAGCAGGGAGGGGCGGGGGCATTGAGGGGCCTATAGCCACCCCACAATTCCCCATAGCCCTCTATAGCCAACCCTCCCAGTGGCACTGCTGCTGGTGCCCGCCCTGCACAGGCAGCGGTAGCTGAGCTCACACTGCTCCTGCCCACAGCACAGTCCCCTCCTCAGCCCCACGCCAGGAAGAGGCTGGTGCTGCTGCTGCTCGCTGGTGCTGCTGGGGCTTATCTCCACGGAAACCCTGGCCCCACACTATTGTGGCTGCTGCTGAGGTCTCCATGGAAACCAGCCCCAGCCACGTGGGCAGGGGCTGCTGGGAAATAGAGTCCACTGCCAGCTGAATCTGGCCCATGAGCTGGACTTTGCCTGCTCCCATTCTAAATGAAAGCATGCAAAATGGCCTTCACAGAGCCTTATGCTTCACCTAAGTCATATTCCTCACAAGACATATAAAGATAAACATTCCCATCTTTAAAGTAAAGGATTTATCAATTTGTTAATTTTTGAAGACTGAGAAGCATGACTAAAAGGGAGAAAACATTTTAAGAGGTTTTTTTTATGGGGCGTGCCATCTTTCTAACTATATAAAAGATGAATGATATGATATGGCACCTCTTCTCTTGAAATTTTATCATTACAAATGATATATTGACTGCCTATTCATATTACAGTGTTAGCTGGTCGAAATAGATGTGTCCTTGACTGTATTAGAGGTAAGATCAAACAGTGTCAACAATGGGAATTTGGTGAAGGCTTAGATAGGATTTATACTAAAAATTATCTGTCCCAGATCATCAGTGTCACAAACAAGTGCCACAAAAGCCTGTGAATCACTTTTAAAAATGTTTGTTTGCTTTTAACATGTGTTTACTATGTAACAACATTCCAAGTTCATGATGTCACCAGTAAGTCTTAGCTGGAAAAGATGTAGCTTTCTTCTGATGTAACGAGGGCAACTTGAGTGGATGGTAATCATCAGTATGTTGAATATTCCAAAAAATATTTCCAGGGGAGTATCTCTTTAATTATTTAGAAAATATTTTCTATTTAAACTTAGAAATAAATCCAAAAAATCTGTGGCTACATACATATGTAACATGCTGGTATCATTGTAGAATGCATTCTGTTAACTTACAGTTAACTGTTAGTTACACTTGCCTCAGAATGTTGATAAGAACTTAATGTTTTCAGTTTCTCCCATGTGTGACAAACTTTCATTCTTGTGTTCAAAGTTTGTATGTTTATTCTCTGCCAGAAGTGATTAAACTTTTGAAAAAGCTTTTTTTCTACATTTACCAAAACATAACATGGCTGTTTTAATACAACGTGGAAATGCTTTTAATATTAACTTATATTCATTTTATTTTTATTCATGTGAAGTTATATTTCTAAGACTTAAACCGAGAGATTTCAAAGAGGAATCCACAGTGTCAAAAACATTCTGATCTGTTGTCTTTCTGTAGCCGAAAAACAAGTGAAAAGTAACAGCTGGCATTTTCCTAGGGATGCCTTGAGCCAAAAAAAGGTTGAAAACTAGAGCTAGCAGGATTTCCATGTAAGAGCCAATAAACACAAAAATACACTTTAAAGTGGCCAATTCCACTCTCTTACCCACCACTGTTGTCAATAATAGATCTTTCTGTGACGTCCGTGAGAGCAGTCAAGCCCCAAATGTGTTTGAGAATGCTTAAATAAAACATTGCTTAGAGAAGCATTTTTCTCAAAAAAAATATATTCCATAGTTTAAAGTATACCCCTTTATAATCACATGTATAGTACTTTATACAAAATCTGTTAAACCTGTATCAGATTATTTTGATTTTGATCATTAAGTTAGTGAAAATATGAAAAAAATGCATTGTCAGTACAATGCTCTGCACTGTAGATAAAATTACAATTTTTGAGAAAATAACATATGCTCATATAAACAAAGCTGTCTGCAGATGAGGGGCTAAAGTTGAGGTTTCACTTTCAACCTTAAGTTTTACATTTCTTGATCATAATATTGAACATTTTAATTAATAATCTTAAAGTTACATTGATAGAGATTTTTACCTTTAATCTCTTCTTCCTCAGGAAGCTTTTGGGAGTTGCACAAGATCTTTGGGTACAGGTTTTAGTCACTGAAGTGCCAACTTAAGTAAGAATAAAGGGTGTAGATGTGATTATATTAATTAGGTAGAAACTCATTTGAGTGGGTAGGGAGGAGCAATTTAAACTTGTCTTTAATCTCATTCTTTGGGGTTTTTTAATTAAAAAATGTTGATTAACTTTTAAAATGCTGATTTAATTCAAATTTTAAAATGCTGATTAAATCTGGTCCAAATGAATTTATCAAATATTTGGGCAAAAAATATAGTGCATCTGTTTGCAGATTTTTTTCAGTTAAGTTGTAACAAGAGAAAACAAACTGTTCGTTCCCTTGATTTTTCTGAGATTAAATGTATGTCTTTCTAGACTGCTGATGTATAAAACAATGTGAATTGTTTTAATTATTCAGTTTTCCTAAAAATATTAACAGGTTTCTCATTGTTTGTGGAATTTTATATCTAAAAGTGCACATCATACTACTACAAAAATTACTGTGAAATTGAAACTGCTTTCATTTTTAGTTATGTCATAGATTTTAGTTTTGTATTGTGAATGAAAATAAAGAGGACAAAAATTGCACTTGTATAAATGTCTCTCAGTAGAACAGAAGTGTTTAACTTTTTGCTGATCTCTACATTGCCTGTATATCAGTATGTGAAGTATGTGCTTGGTAGGACGATAAATTGGTCAATTAATATACCAGATATTTTTAATTCAATTTTAACTATAATATTATAATAATGCCTAGTTCTTAGAATTGTTCTCTACCTTTTTTAAAAAGAAGTACTTACTCTAATTCTAACCAGTTAACTTCTCACCATAAGGCTAAATTAGGCTGCCCCTTATTTCTGTGGGTTAGGTTATGTCGTCTAGGTGTTCCATCCAATCAGAACAGGTTTCCTCATCCTAACACCCAAGACAGTGCAAAAACATTGCTCCCGTCTCTTTGAACTAAGTTCTTTGTTCACTTCTCAACATCACTATCTAGTGCTTCCCCTATTAAATGCTTTTGCTTTAATTGTATTAAAATGTAAATCTATGACATTTTAAAGGTATTTAAAAATAGGTCAAAATTTAAAGTTTAATAGGAGAAGCTGTGATGGGAGCTGTGATGTTCTCCTGAGCTGTGATGCCCTCCAGTTTGCACAGGTGGGCAGCAGAGAGAGAGAGTGGGACTTTGGGAAGTGTACTCAATGTCAGCTTGGTACAGTAGAGAGAGAGCAGGTTGCATGGGAATAAGCTGTATACCATCAGAACTAGAGATGGCCTAACTTAGCTTTATGGTGAGAAATAAACTGGTTAGAATTAGAGTAAGTACCCTAGACCAATGGTTATCAACCTTCTTAGACACAAGATATCCTTTGGAAAATGCCACCTTTCAGTTTTCACTTGCTATTTGATTACATGAATATAATAGAGCAATTATTCTGCTGCAAATAACTCAGAATGACCACAACAGGTCAGAAAGGGTTTTTTTACCCTATGAATCCATTTGAAATCTCTAGGCTTATACTGTGAATGACATGGACTTGTTTGCACACCAAACAGTGCTAATATTATGCCATACTCCATAGCACAACTTAAAGGTTCGGTTGAGAATTACTGCTCTGTACCCATAGCAAAGTTAGTGTTGCAACCTCATTGAGCCTTTAACTGCATCTATGACTAACACCACACCTCTGAAACAGAAAGGCTTGTATTAGCAAGTTTAATAAATCTAAAGTTTATATTTACATCTTCCTTCTTGAATAGGTTTTGTTTCTTCTTTGAATTGAGCATCAATAATCTGCGGCCTTAAACGGTGTGTTCTTTGCCTTTTGTGGTGTAGGAAAGGAAGGTGCAGGCCATTTGTTGTAACTCCTATTTTTTATCCCGATGTACAAGTCTAGTACAATACCTTTTTGTCATAATAAGTAGCCAGAATTTTATAGTTCAAAGTGATTTGTACTAATAATTTTGTTTTAAACAAATATTTTACAGCTATACCTTTTTATTAAAATAATTCTACTAGTTACTTTGAAAAAATATATTCTTAACCAGCTTGGCTACTTTAACTACAATGATATTGTTGTACTCTGTATATTTAGGAGCTTCCAGCACCTCTGCTTGATGAAGTGAATGAAGAAGAAACAGTTTTTAAATCTAAAGAATCTCAGGACTACATGAAAATTGCCTGGCGTTACCAGAATTTACCAAAAATGGAGGTAAATAAATAGTATTTTATTATGATTTTCCTATAATGTTAGATAAAGGTTAAAATTCACTTGTTCTATAAATATATATCACTAGAAACCAAACCACAGAATTGCTAAGAGACTGTGGTACTATCATGTGTTTCTTGATTATCAAGGATACAGAGAGATGAGAATCGAAGTCAAACATTTTTTGCATGAAGTCCCATCATGTTTAACAATAATTTGTAAAGAAAATCAAGTTAAAATATTAAAGCACCAAGGGCCTTTTGATTTAATTCAAGAATATCACAGTGTTTTTTTCTTAATCTAGGTAAATTTGTCTCTTACTTATATTAAGTATTTGTCTAGGCTTAGGTATACATTGATGATTTATATAGGTTTAATGAACAGCACTTATTAGATCCCTCCAGTGAAAGTACTGTATTAAAGCAAGCTGTTGACTTGCTTATCCATGTGCGTAATAAGTAAAGTAAGCACTTGAGATCATATCAGCTTCAGTGTCGCTAGAAACTAATCATTGTGAAGGCAGTATGTAAGAAACAAGCCCACTGGTTACTTCTTCAGAGTTAACAGCTGTTAGTATTTTGTGAGTTATGTTTTTCCTTAGGCTGGTTACTTCCTTGTTTAGTCTAATAATGCAGTCAGAGCTTAATAGCATCCTGTACTACACCCAACAGCCAACTTGTTTTGTCCATGCAGTTAGGCTTAAGTATTTTATACATGCTGATTTAGATGTAGCCATGACTGCCTAGTAAGTTCAGTCATATTCTTAAAAATATAATTGGAATGTGACAAAATGATCTTACAAGGCTTGGCATGTTTGGTTTTCTGTGAAATTGCACAGACATGGCTATAAATTTGTGTCAGAGAATACTTATATATGGTGACATGCCAAATCAAACAGCCTCCAGGGTGAGCTCATAAATCTCATCAATTTTATTAATATGGAACTAGCTGTGCCATTCTAAACCATCACAAAATATAGTTTTATTTTATTTGGTAAGTAAAACTAATTTTATTTATACTTTGATGTAAAACCAATTCATTACCATTACTTTAACATAAGAAGTCTTAGAGTTATATCAACTATAACTTGAAATGGGCATATGTCCCTCCTATATTATTCTGTCTAGTAAAATGATATTTAAGTAGAGCAGAATAATACACTTGTCCTTGCTTACAGCAAACTGAACTTGGATATTGAAAGTTGTAGAGCTTATAGACTAATGACAGTTTAGTGTAGACCAACTGTCCAAAATTACAAGGCATGATTCCTTCATTAACATCATTGTTTTCTTAATCATTTGGTGATAATTCCCTAAGATGTATGTACTATAATTTTCTGAAATATAGCATTTCTTTAAATACTTAATGAAAAAATAAAAATACAGTTTAAAAAATGCTAGCAAATTAATATTTTTATTACATCAGAGAACAGAAATATTTGATGGTCGGTTGAATGAATTTTTATGTAATTATGCTATTTTTCAGTAATTGGCTAGTTGGAAGCATTAACTGATGTAGTATGTCAGCCTCTAGGATGGTTCTAATATATCTGGTAATAGCTTTTAATTAAGTGCTTCAACTTTGATTGATGTGTGTTGACTGGTTAAAAATTTCTATCAAAAGAAACTTAAATAAAACTAAAAAACCCCCCCAAAATTTACGTTCTAACCAGGTCTAATTTTTAAACTGATTGTATTTTAAATTTTAATCTATAAATATTTGCAAAATTAGAGTAGCTTAGGTTACAAAGGTTAGAAAGCATAAGCTATCCTTTTAAGAGCTCCAAACATGTCAGTGGAATTTTTTGTCCATTCAACATGTTTTTTACGTGAAACACAAATGCTGTGTAAAGGTTGTCTTTTTCGTACTTTTGTTAGCTAATTTATATTTACTTTTCAGTGACCAAAGAGATTTTTGGTAATAGAAATGGCATTTATTCACTTCCCTTCCTGAAAACTTTACATACATGCTTAGCCAGCTAATAACTATTTCAAGTTATATACCATTCTAAATTAATAATCATGTCTTGAATAGGACACACTGAATGAATAAAAATCAGCATACAAATACTCAGCACATCATAAATATACTGTAGATTTATACATAGTTGGCTGCTTGCATACTGATCATGGTAAGTTTAGGTGGTACAGCTGCCTGTAGTAAGAGTATAAAATAATTTATACTTCTGACTAAAAATGCTAGGTACAGCCTAGCTTGCAATGTGAAAAGGTATAATGTTGGGGGGGGGTTTCTCTCCCTCCCTCTCCCCCTCTCTGTCTTCACCCTCCCCCCTCACTCCACCCCGCCTTTTTTTTTGAATGAACTGCTTGTGTTCTTGGGGCAATATATAAACTGTCACAGCATGAAATCAATTTTCTGCCTTGATTCATCCTAAATCTGAGATTTCTAGCACATTAGTATTGCAATTAGAAACATTAACAGCAGACGGTAGCATAAAAGCACACTCTGCTCACTGACAATTTAGTGTATTTCTCCTTGTGCAGACTAGCTCATAGGAATCCAAGGAAGAACAAGCTTGAACCTACAATCTAGTAATAAACTTATCAACTCAAACTTAAGAGGGATGAAAAGTCTGTTTTGCACTCTCCATGGCCATTCTGCGAAGACAGATTATTCATGCTTACTTGATTCAGGTAGGCTTTTTGCAAGCTTCCCTACTAAGCCTGGGAATGTGGTACATTGAGGCCTATTCATAGGCTTCTGACATAGACGGAGCTTTTATTGCATGGTGTTTTATTATAGCCAAATCCGAGTCTCCACCCAGTTTGTAGGCACTGTGTTCATTCTTTTGAATCAAGAGAGGTTATCACCTACCTTAATCCATGCAGCAGGGTGGATTAAGGACACCAATGTTCCCCAGGATTCTCAAAGAGGATCCTGGAAACTTCTTGTTTCTTCTTTTTTGCTGTCTTTACTAAATTCTGTTGGGCCTCAGTGAGGATTTGCATCCAAAATAGGCAACCTGGAGCTTTTCTCAATGAAGACATCAGATCAAAGTTCAGTTAGTCAAGGCCTTTCTAAAACATTAAGGGGGCTTGAGAGTACACAATAAAAAGATGAGCTCTGGCAGAGATTGCAGTAAAAACATTCTGATCTGTAATCCGGATAAAGGATAGATTATAGGCCAAAGAACAGCCCCTGTTTAAATTGCTTTCAGAATCCTTATACTAAATAACTTTATACTTTGCATTTTTAAGATGTGATAGTTTTTGATCAGTCTTTTATTTTAAAATTTAAAATACATTTGCTAGAGGGGCTTTAATTTTAGAGGGCTTAACATTTTCTTATAAGTGTGCTAAATACTTTTAGAACTCATTTATTATTTATGGCAAGGATTTTTTTCTTAAAACAAAGTTTTATTCTTTTTCTATCCTTTATAGCAATTATATTTTTAATTCTCAGATTGCTAACTAAGCTTAGTATTTGTGTATCTGTTAATACCAAAGTATTACATGGAGATTACTCAAATGGCTAGTTCTAGTTCATTTAGACCTTTTTAGCACATTTGTACAATCTAAAGCACTAAACAAAACTTATGAAAATATCTGGCATAGCTGTCTGCAGACAGATAACTAAAATGACACTATATTCAATAGGGTTGTATCAACAGTTATATGTTTTAATATAACAAGACTGCATGTTGCTTTTTTAAAAAATCTTTTCAGAACTTTAGAAGCCTTTTTTTCAAAACACTTTTCTGGTTCATACAAAAATTAACAATTATTAACAAATCTGTGATTACAGTACTAAATGTTGCCCTCAAATACACCTGGATGGTCTCCATTGTTTTCAGTGAGGGCAGAAGTGTAAGCCTAGTTTTCCCTATAGAATTATCACTATTTGATGACAATGCACAAATTAGAAAGAACGTAACTCAACTTCCAAATGCTTGGTTGAATTTTTACTGTTGTCCCCTAAAGAACAAATCTCTTTTTAGTGTATTTATAAAATGAAGAAAATTGTTATAGAATCCACTGGGGAAAAAATATAACACCCCAAAGAGGCTATTTCGGGTCTTTTTCAGGTACAGCCACAAAGCAGGAGCAAGCAAAATGCTGTCTAATTTTATCTGAGAACACAGCTTCTCGTTGTGGACTTCGAGGTGGGAAAAAGAGTTGCTTTTGGTGTTGGGTATTTTTGTTTTTATATTGGGGGAGGTTGGTTTTCACTTTTTGCAGCTGAATCTTTAATCCTTTAGAGTAGACAGTGTCATGACTTCAAAATGAAGTCATTATTCTCTATAGTGACCACTGAACATACTTAAAAACTTTTTAGCCACCACCCTGTGACCTACATCTCTGAATTTTCACACTTAGAAGTTAGTCACCTCTGAGCTGACTAGAAATAATCAGACACTTTCACTCTCACAGTATTAATCAATGAGTGTGAAAGTACATGTTGTAAGGGAGAGAAATGACTGCAAGTTTTTTTTGAAGCACAGAGACATGATGCCAGACTACTGACCGTTTCTGTGAAGCCTGGGTCCCTGGACAGAGGTAACATTCAAAGCACCCTGCAAATCCCTGTTGTACCCCCTGGGTGAAGACACACCGCTGCATACTGTTACAATAATCTTGAACGGCTGTAGTGGAGGTGTGTGGCACAGAGCTGCACATCTGTCAATGGCCCAAAGTGCTCTGAAATTTAAGTACTGAAAATTCCACTCCAATGTGGAGTGCTACAAATATACATCTATTCATGGCCTGAGTTGGCTAAGTGGGGAAGCTATTGCTAGAGGAAGCTGATAGATGTTTGACTTAAATCCTGGGCAGAGAAGACTCCAGACCCTTTGCTGGTGCCAGTATTAGCATGGGCTTATAATGGAATCAGATACTTGTAATAGAAGGAACCTCCAACATGAAGGGAGAAGAAGCCCCGAGTGTTTGTAGCAGAGCTCTCATCTAATAGGTGGGTCACTGGACACAGGGCTAGTATGCCTTTGTTTTGGAGCAGTTGGCTTATAAATCATCCCCCAAATAGAAAGTGTTTTGTTTGCACGGAGCAAGAAAATAAATATAGATTTTTAGTGATGATGCTTCTGTTATGATTGGAACAAGAAAAGTACATTTTTAATTGGTAGGTTGGCTGTAAAAACAAGTAGTTCAGGGGTTGGCAAGATTTTTGGACAGAGTGCCAAAAACACCTACAACCTCCGCTTGTAAAATGTTGGCACCAGGGCTAGGAACAGCTAAGACAGCTATATTGTGGTTGAACCCAAGCTAGTTTGTTTAGAGTTAGCTGAAGTATCACTGACAGCACTGAATTCTGCCATGTAGGAAGCATCACTGAATGGTTTTCCCAATGTTTCTTTGAGCATTATATATTTTTGGTCTCTATATTAATATGGGTTGATCCTGGTGAGCAGCCTGACTACATTTGTATATTAGTTCTTTGGACTGTTTCAGATTCTCATCTTCTTAGCTGTCATCTTTCAGCAATCATTTTCTAAGTTCTGTCTTTCATAAGTACAAAGCGCCATTAGTATTGTGCCTTGGTACCAGCCAAACGCTTCCTGAATGCAGAGTGGGGTGAAGTAAAGAGATGGTTTAAAGCAACCTTTGCACTTTAACCCTTCCTGAACTGTACCATTTATCTGTTCAGGATGTGGATAATTGCTCCTTGTATTAATACAAAATATCATAGCTCAGGTAGACTTTCTTTTGTAGCTGTAAACAAACCTAACCAGCATCTGTTCAAATCTAGCTGCCTTATTATTGAGGTTAGAGTATTTCTGCTTATCTTGTGTATTATGTAATGGAATGGTGACATCTCCAAGCATATGCCTACAAGCAAAAAATTCACTTGTATGAAGACTCAAAACATTGTCTCACAGCAGTTAGGTCAGTTGGTAAGAAAGAGTCTTAGTTTCATAGTTTCTAGGGTCGGAAGGGACCTGAAACAGATCAAGGCTGACCCCCTGCCCTGGGCAGGAACGAGTGCTGGGATCATAATACTCCAGCTAGATATCTCTCCAACCTCTTGAAGATCCCCAAGGTAGGGGAGAGCACCACCTCCCTTGGAAGCCTATTCCAGAGCCTGGCAGCCCTAGCCATAAAGTATGTCTCCTGATATCAAGCCGGAACCTGCTGTCAATCAATTTTTGATTGGCAACACAGTGCTGTTTGCTAGCATTCTGGATGTGTTGTGCCACAACTTTTAAGCTTTAAGTTTAATTTTTCTCTAGTCTTCTTATATTCCTTTCAAGAACAAGCCTACTTATTAGGCTAATAAATGGAACTAATATAAGGTGTCCCATATCTGAGCTAAGTGATTTCTTTCCCAACAAGAAATTAATTCTGCCATTGAAGCTTCCTGACCATTGAAACCAACATTATTTTTTTGATGGGGAAGTGCAACAGAAACAAAACAAAGTAAAGCATAGTATAAAGGGAAATATTTTATAATTACATATTATTTCTGTTTTAAATGCAAAATAGAGCTATTGTGTATTTGCACACTCCTTTTTTAGAACAATTTAGTTTTTATTTTTTGTGTGTAAGTAGTATACTCTATATTAGCATTCTGGATTGTACATTGTGCTGGATTTCTATCAATATTCAATGTTTGGACCTCCTTTCTGTGTCCTTCACTTAAAGCATATAAAGAGTGTTGTTATCACACTTTAGCATGTTGGTTTTATTATTACTTTTACTCTGTTCTGTCAGTTATGTCAGAAGCATAGTTACTTACCATATATAATTGTTGTAATATCCAGCATCAAGCTACTGAAGATTCAAGAAATTTTAGCATTTTCTTTAGAATTTATAGTTTTACATAGAGTTTAATTTTCCTTAACTCAAAGTTGGAAGCTTTTAAGGTGGTTTATTTACACATTGTATGTAAATGTAGCAAGTGTCAAAAGGTGGTAGGCAAATGTTTGTGGACTTCTGCATATACATAGTACAGGTATTGAAAAGCCTGATATATACAGACCTTGGCATGTACCTGTGCCACCTCCCATGCTTCCTCCAACTTATACATACATCAGGATATTATGTGCCAGTTTAGGGCTTGTATAGGAGTACATATTTTTGGATTCCTGATGCATATATTCGGTGGAACAACTCTAAATTCACTCTTGACAAACTCCCCATTATCAATCTTCAGCCAGTCTGAAGTAATGCTTAAATAAAAAATCAAAGATCTCTCTTACTAGTATTGCTAATGAATTATGTTTTGAGATAAATTATCATTTAATTAGGTGTTATCATTACTGAATGTCTTTGCAGGCTAGCCCAGCAGCTTCTTCAAGGTTTGGTCATTATTATGATGTATCGAAAACATTGTCTCCAGAACTGCTTCAGTCTACAAAATGTCATCGTTTTTTTCTTCCTGAAGAAATATCTTTACACCCTAACATTAACATTGGGTAAGTTAAGTCCTGTTTTTTTCTATATAATCAGTTTTTATATTAAATTTAAGGGATGATTTTTAAAGGTGTTGCTAGATAATTTAGGATTGTGCATCCCTTTGTTTTATAATGAAACTTGTACTTCTGCGTTTCATTAGTTACTCTTGAATAATCTTCCCCATTTTTTTACCCTAAATGTACCAAGGAGGTACATAAAATAAAACATGCATAAGAATGCTTTCAGCCGTGATATTTCTATATTTCTGAGAGAGCAAGGTAAACTACTGTTTGGATTTGAAAAGGAATTCTTAATCAGTTTGCCACACTGGTCATTTGTTATAGTTTGTATCTGTTGCAAATAAAATCAGACCAACAGAATACCAGAGACATCAGTAAGGTGTTGTACTACAGCTGTACTTGCTACTAGCTATTTTGCCAGTGTCTCAAGGTACTCCTCCAAATAAAGACCATTATAGTCTTCTTGGATCTTTCTACTGCTCTAACCTCTAGGTTTTACAAACTTCTAGGAATAGAACTAAATCCCAAGAACTATTTCAGTGCGTTTTTAAAACTATAGTTTAATACAATACAAAGTATAGTTGATAAAAGAAATCCAGTGCTTCATTGTTAAGTGCTTTTTAAAAAATGTAAACAAGGGAAAAACTACAGTCTTTGTGGATACCAGTGACAGTATTATGTGATCAAAGAGCAGTGGTTTCTATTTATTAAGGCCTTCACATTCTAGCTGGATTGTAAACAAAGCAATCTGTATATTAGAGCAAGGCAAAATTATGAGCTCTATTTCTGTAGTAAATTTTTTAAGCCTGCCCATGTATAATCATAGAATCATAAAAAATTAGGGTTGGAAGGAACATTAAGGGGTCATCTAGTCCAGCCCGCTGCTCAAAGCAGGATTATCCCCAACTAGATCATCCTAGCCAAGGCTTTGTTTAGCCTGGTCTTAAAAACCTCTCTGGGCAATCTGTTCCAGTGTTTTGCTATCCCCCTAGTGAAAAAGTTCTTCCTAATATCTAACCTAAACTTCCCTTACTACAACTTGAGACCAGTGTTCCTTGTTCTGTCATATGCCACCACTGAGAACAGTCTAGCTCCATCTTGTTTGGAACCCCCCTTCAGGTAGCTGAAGGCTGCTATTAAATCCCCTTTCAGTCTTCTCTTCTGCAGACTAAATAAGCCCAGTTCCCTCAGCCTCCTAGCCCCCTAACCATTTTTGTTACCTGCTGCTGGACTCTCTCCAATTTGTCCATGTCCTTTCTGTAAGGGGGGCCCAAAACTGAACACAGTACTCCAGATGTGGCCTTGCCAGTGCTGAATAGGGGGAATAATCACTTCCCTTGCATTACTGGCAACACACCTACCAATGCAGTCCAGTATGCTCTTAGCCTTCTTGGCAACAAGGGCACAATGTTGACTCATATTCAGCTTAGTGTCCACTATAACCCCCAGGTCCTTTTCTGCAGAGCTGCTGCTCAGCCAATCAACCCCCAGCCTGCACTGGTGCATGGGATTGTTCTGTTCTGAGTGCAGGACTTTGCACTTGTCCTTATTGAACCTCATGAGATTCCTTTTGGCCCAATCCTTCAATTTGTCTAGGTCTCTCTGAATCCTGGTCCTACTCTGCAGCATATCTACTACTCCCTCCATATTGGTGTAATCTGCAGACTTGCTGAGGGTGCACTCTATGTCATCTTCCAGGTTGTTGATGAAAATATTGAACAGAACTGGCCGCAGGACCAACCCCTGGGGCTTTCCACTTGATACCAGCTGCCAACTAGAAATCAAGCCAATGATTACTACCCTCTGAGCCCAATGCTCCAACCAGTTTTCTGTCCACCTTATGGTTCATTCATCCAGTCCATACTTCCTTAGCTTGCCTGCAAGGATGTTGTGGGAGACCTTATCAAAAGACTTGCTAAAATCAAGGTATACCACATTCACTGGTATCCCTGAATCCACAAAACCAGTCATATCATCATAGAAGGCAATCAGGTTGGTCAGACATGAAGTGCCCTTGGTGAATCTATGCTGACTGTTCCTAATCACCTTCTTCTCCTTCAAGTGCTTAGAAATGGATTCCTTCAGAATGCCCCATGTTTTTTTTCCAGGGACTGAGGTGAGGCTGACTGATCTGTAGTTCCCAGGGTCCTCCTTTATCCCTTTCTTAAATATGAGCTCTGTATTTGCCCTTTTCTAACCATCCGGAACCTCTCCCAATCACCATGAGTTTGCAATAATAATATTCCTCTTCAGTAGTAGGGATGCTAATGGATGTACCCAAGGAGTGAGGTGTATGGCACAAGCTAGACTTTGGGCAATAGTTAAAAGGAAAGTGCATTAATATTGCCACCCAACAAATGACCTGCCATTAGTCTTTGCTCTAAGGTTGGGTCACTGAGATGAGTCATTCCTTGGCACTGCATTTTGGATTGCCTGCCATTAAATCAGTGGTCTGAAATATTTTTATTTATAATCAAGATAAACAGTATGTTGAAAGCCTCTTCATAAAATAGGCTTTTGACATCAAATCTTTATTTGAGCAAGAAAAGGCACAAGTAAATTAAATATACCAGCCAACTAGGCTTGAACCTCCAGCTAACTGAATTGTCTCTGATTGAGCAGTCCCTATAAACTGGGAAAGACTAATGACAGTTTTAGTGGGCCTAAATTTAATTACATATAGTTACTAGTTTTTGGTTACAACTATTGAAAAAGCCAGTTGATTCTGAAAGTCTATTTAATTCATTTATAAGTAAATGGAAGATATAATGATACAATTCTCTAAAAATGTCAGTCCTCCTTTCACAAAACTATAGTCTCTTTTGGAAAGAAAAAAAGAGTAAAGCTGGGGATGGAGCGGAACCCTGAGTTAACAAATATTTATCCTAAACTTTTGTTGTTTCTTAGCAAACAAAATCAACAATTGCTTCAAATTATCTTTTGAATGACTAAATATTGGTAGAACGTATAGCAAATCAGTATTTTATTATTTTGAAATGTATGTCTCTCTTTGTATTTGATGTGAGCTTATAATAGTATGGCAGTTTCTCAGACACTGAATTTATAAAATAAAAGATATTTAGGAAAACAAATGATTGCATAAGCAAAATGTATATTTTTCTATTAGTAGTTTTTAAAGTCTAATATGATTAAAAATTCTGGGTGATTCATTTGTACTGAACTTACAGAGAAAAACTTCCTATTGTTTATACTAAAGTAAGAGACTTAAAGTTTGTGCTTTTATACAGGCTTGTAAAGATTTATCAAGGTTTGATTATGTCGTGTGTGGCATTCCAGGGCAACTGTATAATTCTTGGGGAACATACGAGGTCCACTTTTATTTTAGTCAGACATTTTACTGAAAAGTCAGTCTTAGAAATTTGCCAGCAATTATTGGTGAGCTCTGGGTTTCATTCATCTGTTGCAGTTAATGTCACTTGCTTATTTTATCACTTTATTTTGCTGTACTGAGCGGTAGTTGTCATGTTGTTCATGTGTTCTGTTGCAGAGATGGTGAAGAACTAAATGTTGCTTATGTGTTTCTTAGATGTCCGCCACCTTTATCCATGGAGTATAATGTTGGTGGTTGGGGACAGAAAAGAATAAGGAACTGAAATGCAAACAGTTCAGTGGTTTAGGTAGTAGGTGCCAGCCAATTTTCTTCTCTACTCTTTGCTTGCTTACTTTGCATGTTCCACCTGAGTTTGAACATTTTTTTGTATAACCTTGAACATGACTGTAACACACTAAAGTGTTTGACTCCCAGTTTTCAAGCAGCTTCTTTAGCCTAAGGATGAGGCATGCTAGCAAGCATTAGCAATGCATTGGTGAAGTATGGGAGGGCACATGCCCCCCCAGGTTGCTGCGCCAAAGTCAACATACAGGCACACGCCTGCAGCCTGGTTGGAGCCAGCGCCTGGCACCAATTGGGGTGGGGACGGCAGCACAGAGTTGTGCCCCACCTCTCCTCAACATTTACACATTGTTTATGCTAGCAAGCTGAATGTTGCACCCTTATTGCCTCTACTGTTTATCTTCTGTTGATGAATGGAGAATTCTGGCTTCCAGTAAGTACTCTGTCAGCTTTAATAGGTATTAAAACAAAATTGAATTAGAATTGTTAGTGCTATTCTTCAGTATTGTGTTTGTACTTTATTAACCTTAAATTCACCTTACATGTTCACAGGCCATATTCATTCTCAATGGATGTAAAAGACATCACTATAACGTACTACAGTTTCATACCGTTTCATACTTTCTAATCAATGCTGAATAACTGGAGGACCTTTTCCACCCCTCCTCTTTCATTCTCTAGAGGGGTGGGTCATACCTTTAATCATAGCATGACAGGTCCTAAACTAGGTGTAATTGCTGCTAACTGTTATACTATTCTTAAAATATATGTGTTTTTACAGAAATCCAGCAAGTTTCCCCTGTATTTTGTACATATGTCACAGTAAGACTGTGAGGTGAGGAACCCTGATTAGTCAAAACATTGATTCTCAATTTTCTCTAGTTCACCCTTCAACCTGGGATATTTTTAATGGAAAATAAAAGAAAACACTGATGCTAAGGAAGCTTTTTATTGTTTTGTAATTGTCAAGTCTCATACAGTTTTTCTACTTGTGTCAGAGCCTTAAATTTGTGTAGACTTGGAGTTTAAATATAACTTTAGAACTAGAATTTAAGTGACAAAAGATGGTTTCTGTGAGAGACATCAAACAGAGTTTCTTTTCCAAGAAAGCTACTTTATTGACATACAAAAAACTAGAACTCTTGGTTCCAGAATGATACCTTTTATTAGACCAACCAGGAAAATGCAAGAAAATTGTCCTTGCATTTTCCTGGTTGGTCTAATAAAAGGTATCATTTTGGAACCAAGAGTTCTAGTTTTTCATATGTCTTCTTGCCTCAGACCAACACAGCTACCAAATACACCCTCTGTTCTTTACTGACTCATGGGTCTTGCCTAATACAGCAGCACTTGTGCGACTAGGTTC